GAATGAATAAATTATTAGAAAGTCAACGTAGTAATGCTAAAACAGTAGTAGACTTTGTTGAAAATCTTTATGGAATTCAAAAAGTACGTTCTACTTTATCTAAAGAGAATTCAGAGCAATTAACTTTTCATGCTGGTCTTGTAACATATTAAAATACATGTATATTAGAGCATGAGAATGAAGAGTATTATTATGTAATTGATAAAAAATAAAGATTAAATCAAGAAAGACTTTATGTACTTCATGGATAGATTCAAGATATAAAAAATTCTAATTATTTTTATGTTAGGAAAAGAAATAATACATTTCATTCACCATATAATTTAACACACATAAAACTTAAAAACAAAATTCAATTAGAAATTAGTAAAATGGTTGAAAAACTTGTTTTAAAACATAATATAGAAATTTTATCTCAGTATTACTTAGTTAATATTCATTTAGAAGAATGTACATATTTAGATTTTATTTGGAATGGATCTTTTCATAATATCTGTAAGCATTGTCATGCTACTTAGCTTTTTAAATTAAGTTATTAAAAGCTAGTCTCAAAATAAATACATATTCTTAGTTTGATATTTTTTTATTTGTAGAGTATAATTAAAGGATACGATAAATTTAGTTATAATTTGTTCAAGATTTATACATATAGTTTTTTTATATGAGTTTTATTTATTCTTAAAAAATTTAATATTTTCAATATGCAAGGAATATAGGTACTACAATAATTTATGTTTCTATTAGCTAATTTATAGATTTTGAAACAAAAGATATTAGTTCAAGTTTGATATAAATATACTATATTTATTCTTTATTTTGATTGGCTAATTTATAATTTTTTTTTAGGGTTAGAAATTTAAGGTCAGAAACATGATCCAAGTGGGTCAGAGTCAATGTTTTTGTAGCTAAGGCAGATAATTTTAATAGAATTTTTAAAACTGCTATTTGTTACAGATATGGAATTAGCATAGAATTTAATTAGAATAAATATTCTAATTGGATTTTGAAGTAGGCTAG